TTCTCCGGTTTTAAGGGGATTTTTACCTGCAACGCGAGCAGAGGTGGAAGCTGTAGACGAAGGGGTGGGGTTTAAAGTTGCTAAAACAAATTTGGTGAGCGTTGAAAAACATTGCCTCGACTTGACGTTGCAGTAGGGACGCTCCTTAACGTTGCGTGGGGTACTCGCCCGTTTCGCGTTGCAACTCGGTGTCGACTTTGAGCTTTTTTGCCGACTCTCTCTAGCGGCGCACACCGTTTAGGTAAATATCGAAAACACTCGAAAAGGCGAGAAAAAGCTGAGTTCGTTTTCATTATCATGTATTTTTATTCGGGAATTTCACCTCAAAAAACCATGAAAACGGCAGATTTGCGCGAGATATGCATGCTAATTGCGAAGTGCTATTGTAAAGCTACCCGTTGTTTTAGAAAAAACGTTGAATATCGGAAGAATAAAAATAAACCTTAAAAATGAGGCCCGCTTGTTTTCTCGCCCTTTCCTTACAGAGGATTTTCTCCGAGCTACGGAAGTAGAGAGAGTTTTTTCCGAGGTAGAGTGACGCTTTTCTGGACTTTTCTTACGCGGCAATGTTGAGGCCCAGAGGGCAATTAACGCGCACCGGTTTCCCTTTCATGAGCAGCAGCGACAGGTCCTCGAAGCCGTCATTCGTGGCATAGGAGGAGGCCCTGGGCCGAAATCGGTCGAGGTCCGAAAAGTTCATAAGGAGTGACCCTTATCATCTTTTTATAAAAATTTTTTGCCTGCGGCGCTGTTTATTCCTGTTTTTAAGACAGTTTTTACCTCGATTAAGCCTATTTTTCCAAAATTTTCCATTTCCTTTTCTGTGATTTTTTCCCACAAATTTGATTGTAACAAACAGTGTTCTCTAATTTTTTGCCTGCGGCGCTATGTTGGCCGCGATTTGGGGTGTTTGAAAAGTGACGACGGGGGGAGGTCGTCAAATTCCCCCCCCCCCCCCAAATTTCGCCTCCGCTAATGTTCGAAAAAAATAGGTTTCTGAGCGGTTTAAATCATTTTAAAAACTAATAAACAGAGCCGCAGGCAGAAAATATTTATGTAAAAATCATAAGTATATCCCCTTATGAACTTTTCGGACCTCACCCGATTTCCGGGGGGGGATTTACAAAGTTGTGAGCGCTATATTAGGTTGTGAAACTAAAGCAACGCTATGTTCGAGCTTACGCACTGTCAGAAGCGAGAGTATAGAGCAAAGATGGTAAGTTTAATACCAGTTAATTATTGATATTAACTATTATTGTTGTTAGTCACTCTTGGTAATTCATTATTTGTCGTTGTATTCTTGATTCTTAAAAAGGTATCGATTACCTTATCCGTCAATTACATAAGAAAGTGCATTTTAGAATTCGAAACGCCTCGGGTTGTAGATATTTTTGTTGGCGACCTTGCATAACTTTACTCCTAAAAAGCATTTCTTTACAAAAAAAACAAACGAGTGGCAGCCTACCGCTAGCTGACTATGGAAGCCCGTATAAACCCGGACTCACAAGGGAAGGGCAAGTGCACGAAGTGGAAATTCGAAAAACGCTCGCGGCTACCCCTAGGTTTTCGACTACGGCGATTCCGATGCGCTATTCAGAATTAGCCACCGAGGTCTGTAAAACGAGATACCGCACTTCCGGAAAAAGCATAATTTGCATGCGCGTAATTAGAAAGCTACTAAGGGTTTATTAGGATCTTCCACGTATCTACCATCAGCTGTGAATTGGTAGAGTGCCAAGCCACTCGCTTTTTGAAATACCAACGGGGGTTCGGATCCACTCTCATTTTTGTTTTTCTTTTTTGGAAGTTTGTGATTTTTGGGTTGGACCTCGGATCTTGAATAGAATGAGGAAAACGGGGCGATAACCTGCAATACTAGGCTCCTCACGGCGGAAGCCTATATAACGGGAGAGAGGCAGCTTTTTTCATCTTCATTTCATCTGATCGCGATTCAGGCGAATTATGCAAAGTGCAGAATTTCATGGTTTTGGGACGGGACCAGGGTTGAAAAGTCGCGAAGCGGGTTTTCAACCCTGGTGTGTAGATTAATATTATAAAATAAAATACCGAATTCGCATTTTTAAAAATGTTAATAATATAGTAGTTCACCATTCTTATCTCTACGTCTTCTATTAGTGGTATCGCATTGGATCTTATTCATGGTCTGCAGTATACTTCTCCGCCCACCCCGGGTGGGCCCCTAGGGGAGCAGAGGGGACTGAAAGGGGGATGGTGGGCCCCCGGGAGGACTTCCCCCCTCCTCCCACCCCCTAACACTTTTGTTTCTATCTGTCCTTCCATTGGTAAATACACTGTATCTTATTCATGGTCTGTGGGAAATCACTCGGCGTATATATTCCTCAGACCTCCGCTGTCCCGATGATCCACCGGTATGGGAACAACTGGAGAGTCATTGCTATCTTGGTGGCAAGCCCCTTCGCGTGGCCATTACTCGGATTATTTCCGGTAATGGAGGGGTGCAGGAATAGTTTTTGACAGTTATAGACCTCCAGCTACAGTTATATTCCAGCTACAGCAAAAATAAACTTTCTTATCGGTTTTTCATAAGGTTTTCGTCGGAATCGACCCTACGAATATTAAGACAAAGTGAAGCTGCAGGCCTTCTTTACCCCTAGCAATTTTTCTTGATAAAAATTAATTAAATAACCGCTGATTCAACAATTTTGTAACCCAGATTCACCCCCGATATCAAGCAAAATTAGGGATTCGAAGCCGGAAGTCGAGGCAAATCGATTCAAAGTCCAAAAGATAGCCGAAAAAACTGTTAAGAATCGCGTAACAAATAGTATTTTGGCGATAACTCGAAAACTACTGTAGCGATTGGGCTATAACTCAGGATTGTGGTTATTTAGGGTCTGATACACCCTTGTGCAAAGTATGGGACCGATCGGATGTGATATGGCGAAATGCCGGAGGGGTACTTTTTTTTGGGACACCCTGACTTTTTTGGATATAGATCCTCCCCGGCATAGGCCAGAGGCAGAGAAAAGTTAAATCGGGATTTCATAAAGAAAAAAACAAACAAATCATCGATACTATGAACAAATTTCAATACATCATAAAAAGGCGATTTACCTACATAATGCCGATTCACAAAATGCCGATTTTACAAAATGCCGATTTACAGAATGCCGATTTTACAAAATGCCGATTTACAGAATGCCGATTTACAAAATGCCGATTTACAGAATGCCGATTTTACATAATCTGGCTTTTACATCAAAAATACAGACCGGATCCCCTATAAAAACATTATCCGACTTGGCCACGGCGAATTTTTACGAATTCTTTTTTTTCGCGTAGGGATCCGGGATTACGAGGAAATCGCAAGTCTCGCGACAAGTTTCAACGCATGTCTCGCCGACACTTCCAACGTGCTCAGCCGCAGCGACAAAACTCGACGATTCATTATTATTTCTTGGTTGAGAATGCCCGGCCTCACGTCGAGAGGAAGGGAAAAACTGTCTGATAGAAGAATTTAATTTAGTAACCCATGGGCGGCCCCTTGGTAACGTGGAACTAGGGTTTCTCTGAAAAAAAAGAAAATTATAAAGCTAGGCCTCAGGTCTGGCGGTTTCGCCATGTCCAAGTCGGATAATGTTTTTTTCTGGGGATCCGTTTTGTATTTTTGGATGTAGAACCCAAATTATGTGAAATCGGCATTCTGTAAATCGGCATTCTGTAAATCGGCATTCTGTAAATCGGCATTCTGTAAATCGGCATTTTGTAAAATCGGCATTCTGTAAATCGACATTCTGTAAATCGGCATTTTGTAAAATCGGCAATCGGGATTTCATAAAGGAAAAACAAACAAATCATCGATATTATGAAAAAATTTCAATACAGGGTGTGCAAAAAAAAGCCCACAGTTTGGGTCGAAATAACTCGCGAACGGTAGAGAATCGAAGGTACGTTACCATGCCAGAATGCTTAAATATGCTGGGCATGAAGATTTAACACAACTTGATTTTTTCGATTTTTGGCGACGTATCAATACAAATGACACCCGAAAACTGTGCGTTCGGGGAAACTTCATTTGTATTTTTCTCAGTTTCCTGTGGTGGCTGGCATCTAATTTTCATTAAGTAAGTTAATATAGGCAGCAGAGATATACCTACAAAATCTAAGAATTTTTGAGGGTCTGGTTGAAAAGTTATAGAGGAATGAAATTTTGTATGGGGAAATTTCGTAAATTTTTAATATTGGAAAAACCTATGGCGAAAACCTCAAAATCAGTTGTTGTGGAATACCTACAGGCTTGACACAATCGCATAAACATATTAAAGAATTTTTTGAGATCGATGAATTTTCGAGTTTTTCAATGACCCCCTGGTCATGGATTTTTCGAGGTCACGAAACCGAACTTTAGAAATTTTTAAATTTTAAATTTTTAGAAATTTTAAATTTATTTTTAAATTGCCAAAGGGGACTCAGCTATTTTCTTTGCTTAACTATGTAATACTGGGGCTTATCTATCATCTACAAAATTTCGAGCTACCGTACCCCTTTGGAGGGGCGTCTTTTAGGGCCTCCAAAACGGTTGGTTCGTGCTTTTTTCCAAACCTTGCTACCATTTTATAGATTTTAACAGCGCTATGAAAATTGTTATTTGAATTTTATCTGATACCATTTGAGTAGCGCATCTTAAAGCCATGTTCTTGAATTTATTTGACCAGCCGTTGGCGCCAAGAAAATTCATCAAAACCCGAAATAGACCGAATCTGAGTGGGCGTAAAAAATTTTTGGAAGACGAAGTCGCCAGGATCTTTTCACCAATAAATCTGTAGTATTAGTTAAATAAAACTATGCAAAGATTAAAACAATTTAGCGTCGAACAACTAAAATCGCGTGGCCGCGCCTCGGCGTTAGCGCTCTTGGATCGTGGGCTGGTAAACGTTCGAAAGCGCGCCCAAAGTGGAGAAAGGCCTTCTCCACATCCGAGAGGAGGAGCAGTCGCCTTAGCCGTGCTCTCGTGGTCATGCCAGGGATGGATGGGATCGAGCTGGGACCTGCGGGTAGGCAGTCGTTTGGCGATCTTCGGCCTTTGGCTGCTGTGGATGCGTCGTAGACCATTCTGGTTTTCGTGGTTGAGCTTTCCTTTTTTACCACGGGCATGTGGGGGAATATAGTACACCCGCTTCGCCTCCTGGCTTACCTTTGGCGCATCCTCGATGAATCCTCGCATCTCCTGTTCATGGAAGTTTTCTACGACAGCGGCCCATAGTGCCGGGTCTCGTTGTCCTTTGACAAACAAAGATGACAAGCGGCGAGCGGCCAGTGCGTAGTTTTGGCCCAACTCGTCAATTCGCTCTTCTTGCACTGGTAGCGCAACGCTGATGCGGCCGTCCTCTTCGATTTCAACAGTGTTGTCGAAGTGAACATCCAGATCCATCGGGGTTAGCGAGCGTAGCCCGCTAACCCCTTTGGTTTGAGGCACCCCCCATACGACTCTTTTGGGGTCCTTTTCCGGATTTAAAAAAGAACCATGCATCGGATCGCCAAACTGAATACACCATCGGAACCGGCGACACTTTTTGCATACAATAAGCTTTTAAAAATCGAAAAAGATTGAAATTTCGAATTTTAACAGCCGATTTAAAGACCGTTGGAAAGATGGCCGGGCGTCCCCAGGGGTGAGGGACCGACGGGGCGATACCATGCACGCTTTCCATCGCGTAAGGGGCACCAAACCCCCAACTGGATTTCAAGAAAACGGGTTTATAGCCCACGCCCATTCAAATGCATAGATTTTCGGCAATTTGAGGCGGAAGGCTACGGGGCGCTACACGGCACGTACGTACCACAACGGCAAGCAACATTGGGTTCGAATCTTTTAGTTGGGTAATCGAACAGGCAAATGTAAAAGATAAGTGAAATAAAATATAATTTGGCGATAGAATCACTACCAGGCGTTTCCTTTTACTTTCTTACTACAGTTTGTGACAAAAGGATAGGTGGCTCGACTTTTTGCGTAATTTTCTCAGCGATTTGGCATGTAGGCATCCTGAACGGTCGTTCGTTTTGTAGCCCGAAAAAAAGGAGAATTTTTTGGTATACTGGACATGTCTTAACAATGAAGCAGCAGATTTTTATAAGCATTTTAAGTTTTCAATAGGCTATCTCATTCCCAGGGCCGTTCGCTACACACCAATACAAACGACCCTGCAAAGCCCGGCAAATCCCCCAAATTCAAACGAAATAAAAATCGCCTTCGTTTTGATGCTTTTTGAATTCAGTTTTCTTAGTTCTTGGTATCATTAGAATCGCCGTGTCCCATTCTACAAAAGTTGGAAATCGACTTTTTTTAAGATATCCCTTTAGTTTTGAAGTTATAAGGCTTCGAAATTTGGGCCCCATACATTTTCTTGACGAATGGAGCGTCGCGTTGCTTAGGCCCTTATTGCCGCTATTTCTGGGCGTGAGCCATAACTTTTTTGATTGACTATATTTTTGGCAGGAAACTTCTATAAAAATAGTTTATAGCCTTCCCCCACCGATGGTAAAATTTGAGACTGATTGGATAGAGGATGCCATGTTCCCAACGGAAAGAGGGTTTTGGGGGCGTTCTGTCTTGAAAAATCATCGGAAAGGGCATCAAACACTTCAGGAAATTCAGGGAGTACTTTCCTTTCCCTTAGCAAGCTTTTCTGTAGGATTTTTCGTTATTACTATTTATAAATAGCTTTATTTTAAATTGTCGCCAAGTGACGTCCACGGGCTCGGCCCTAGGATACGTGAGGCCCCTCCGCCGCCCTCACCGGATTGCTGGTGTCTAAATATATGGAGTCAGAGAGAGAGAGAGAGAGAGAGAGAGAGCTGAGAGAGAGAGAGAGAACAAGTAGATGGTTTAAGAATCAGCATTTCCTTGACGACGATTTGCTGGTGGTGATAACGAAGTCTGGGCACAACTGGGAAGTGCTCGCAGTGTTTGATGCCCAGCTTTCCGACGTTTTCGAGCGGCTAACCGTTCGAATGTCGGCATCATCGATCGGTCTCAGGTGAGCATGAAGTGGTCGATCAAGACTCGCGCTTAATGG